GTTAGGCTGCATGAAGATGGGACCTCTGGTCTTTCTGACGATCGTGGGCTGAAAACAGATCGAAGCAGGAAAGGTTGTATGAGGAAAGGCTTCTGGTCTAATTCCGATAAAAGCCTACAACCCCCCTGGTATGGCAGACTCCATAACACAAACCTTCCTATTCGGGTTGGCTGGCTTCCTGAATAAGTCGTACCCAATTAGCTAGTACCTAAAAACTGGATCGGCAGACTCCGAAACTCGATTGGACCTCTACTACCCTATTTGATGTTGGCACAATCCGGATTGGTGATCCAATTTTGGGAGAGAGTCGGATCATAAAAACCAAAAAGGAGACTGCTGGGAAGGTTTTTCAACTGTTGAACAGGATTTTCCTTACCTTATATTTACAAGTAGGGAGACATAGTATAAACCTAAGTATGAACCCACTCCGAGGTGTTAGTTGATATTTGGGTAAAATGGGCGGGTAGCATCAGTTTAATTAGACTGTTTATGTAATGACCATGTAATTTGCAAATGATTAATAAAGTCTCGCGTGTATCGCACTTAGCCCTAAAAAAAAAATACATATGTGAACTAAATAAAAAAACATATAAAATAAGATTCAGTTAGTTAATTAAATAAAAAAATAAAAATAAAAATATTAAAATTAACAAATGTTATAATTTTTAATTGTCAAATTCTTAATTTTTTATTATTAAATTCTATAAATTTTTTTATTGCTAAATGTTTTTAATTACAAATATTTTTATTTCCAAATTTTAATTTTAAATTTTTAAATTTTTAAATTTTTAACTGTTAGATTTTCTTTTTTTTATTGTCAATTTTTTAATTTTTAATTGTCAAATGTTATATTTTTATTGTCAAATAATTATATATTCTTTAAATACTAAGTAATATAAATTAAACCAAACAATAAAACTTTGGCATAAATTTTTATTAACAAATTTGAATTTTATCAACTATACTGTAATTCAGTAGTCAAATAATCTAATTTGAACTAGTATTAATCATTCCATCTGAAAAATTACTTAGAGAAGAAAAAAAGTACTATTAAAAAAATGAAAAGAATAATATTTTTAATGGATAAGTAATCTAAAACAAAAAGTAAAATAGGAATTTTAAATAATTTAATGCATGCTCTGCAGTTATAAAAACGAAAGAAATTTATTAAATTTTTAGTTATCTATCTAAATAGTTTTTTTAATTGAATATTGCTATTATATTACTATTTTCATTTTGATTTTATTATTTTGAAACAGTAATAAATAAATATATAATAATTTAGATTCAAACGAAAGTTCATATGCTAATCATAACTTTTGTCTATCCACATATGAAATACCCGGAATTTCTAATGATGTCTGATCCGGCCAGTTGTTCGAAGATAAATGTAACGTTCTACAAACACACGTTTTCATTTTTGGTTTTAATTACGCGAAAGTTTTTCTCAGAGCAAAGGTAGTTTTAAAGTTTTTTATTATGATGGAAAGCCTTGACGTCACAGAAAATAACAACGATCTAGGTAGGCATTATTTTCTCTCACGCCTCTATAATATACAGTTCTTTTTAATATTTCGTGTTCTCAAGAAGGTCTTCCGTTAGAAGAATTCGATTTTGAGAAATTTGCGGACGAGACTGAAGGAAATAACGACAAGCTAGGTATTTTTCTCAAAAAAAAAAAAAAAAAGACTTTTCTCTCTTTAAAAACTTACACAATCTAATATAAAATCTCACAAAAGAAGATACATCAGAAAATGATCTATATTTGGACGACGACTATAAAGAACATGATCTCGCAATAGAGGGATTCACGGGTGAGGATACTTCAGAGAATACGACGGGAAAATTAGGTACGGGGATGAGATTGGTGCAGTGTTTTTTTTAGATATAAATTAATTATCAATTTTATTAATAGTTCTTACGCAAGAAAACGTGATAAGTGAAAATTATTATTTGAAAGACAAAGAAATGGGGCATGTTCCCGAAGAAGAAAGGAACAATGAAGATATTTCAGGCAAGAATTAGGCAAATTGTATTAGTTTTCTTTGGCATAAAATCGGTACAAATGCTCAAAGATCTTTTTCATTTGATAGTCATTCCTACACAGGATCCTTTGAAGGATAACAATATATCTAGAAATGATATTAGCAAAGATTTGGAATTACCTAAAGAAAATGACAACAATATAATGGATAAAACAAAAAAAAATGATATTTCAAGAAACGACGATCAAAAAAGTAAATTAATTAACAAAAATATTTTCTCTCAAATTTTTATGTGTTAATTGGTCATTTATAATTATTAGTGGAGTCTAAGCAGGATGATGTGTTAGAATATCACGACGAAGAAAACGAACAAGGTCTTGATTATTTGGAGGAAAATCACGAAGATATGTTGGGATTACAAGAAAATGTTCAAGGTATGTGTTGGTATATTTATCACCTTGGGTTTTTGCGCTATTTCTCATTTCTTTAATATTTCAGTTGTCCTCACGCAAGAGGATATGCTAAGTGATGATGATATCCTCGACACAAATGATAATGAACCCGAAATTTCAGATAGGGAGGTTGTTGGAATGACTTCTGACATTCCCGTTAAAAAAACTTATTCGCGGAAGGAGAAGATTGATCAGGATATGGATGGTGAACATTGATTTTATATACAATAAATTCTGTGAATTTGCTTATTTATTCTAAATGCTTCATAATTTTAGTTGAAGATAATGACTCAATTTTCGAAGAACTCGATTATTCGGATTATAATAAAAATGAAATTGGATCGAGAAATGAATCAGGTATAAACCATATCCAGGATAATTTTATTATCATATTTTTAAACATGTATATCTCATTCAAAATATTCTGAATGTAAGGGATTCAAACTGAAGCCGAAGAAGATGTGAATTTTAACGTGAATGAGGATGAACAAAATCCAATAGAAAAAATAAATGATGAAAACCGATTCGATCTCAATGACAAAGAAGCCGGTGTTGTGGGGAAAAACAAATCTAATGGTTTGATTGGTTTTAGAAATTTTTATTCATTTAATTTGTTGACATGTAATGACTTAGTTTTGTCCCTAGTTGTTCTCTCTCAGGAAGATATGCTGGAGGATGAATTTCTGGAGGGCATGTTGGATGATGAGGAATTTCTTAATAATATTGACAAAAACGGAGACAAGCCGGATGATGGTAGTCAAAAAATTCTCATTATGAACGTTGATTTATTATTAGAATTTTTATCTTTGTTCCAAAATAATAATTATTATTTGCAGGTTTTTCAGATAACAATTTTGACAATGAAACAGCAGGAAACGAGAAACAACATGTTGGTGAATATCACGTTTCAAAATAATTGAGAATAATTGGCATAATATAAACTTTACTCTTTATTCTTAGACTTATCATCACAGGATATGCTGGAAGAAACTAAAATTCCTGAGCAAGATAATTATATCAGAGAAGCAGAAAAGAAGAGGTACAGACCATATGATGGTAGGTGATAATTTTAATAGTTTTTAAAGCATTAGTGGTGTTACCTTCGTAATAACACAAATTTCAATATAGATTTTACTAAACCTCAGGCTACATTCCAACCGGGTTCCACGCCTATGAAAAATCATCGTCAATATTTGGGTAGATATAATTCAATTTATTTAGATAATTTTTTATTAAATACACACAATAGACTTTTGGATATTTCAAAGCTATGAATAGCGTTGGAAGTATTTCCACCATGGAACATGAAACATTCTCAACCATCACTGTGGAATACCATGATCAGTCTCACAATCGAGGTTACAACCTTCGTGATGATTTTAACTATTCTATGGCCTGTCTAGGTAAGCTTGAGGGCAGCTTATAATAAATGGAATAATTTTTTTATTATATTAATGTAGTTGATGACGATTTTCTTTTTCCAATAAGATGCCAATGGAGCTCTGTTTGCCACCGAGTCTGTTAAGGTGAACGCCGTGGATACTAACCCTAGCATTTTATTCTACAAACCACGAGAAACATGGGCTTCAAAGGGTGAGTGGATGCTGACACTTCCGCATGATGAGGATATAATAGGTAATGTCTAAACCTATGATGGTTTCCATTTACGAGCATATTATATCATGTTTTAATATAAAATTTCGCTATTACATATAGCTATTGCATTAGGTTCTGAAGGAATAATTGCATCAACCTCAAAGGATGTCCTACGGTTTTTCTCTCTCTGTGGTGTTCAGACATATATCTTCAATCTATCATCAGTGGTTTCCATGGTGGCTCGAAATGAATTTGCTTTAATTGTTTATAATATGGGAATTGGTTATAAAGGTTATAATTGAATAATAACTTATCTATTTTTTTAGAATAATATAATCTATTTGAGTTGTTATTTAAAGTAAATATGTATATTTCATTTCAGGATCCCAGAGTCTTGGATATATATTATATGATTTTCGAAGCCGGGAAATTCTGCAAAGGGATCGAATGCCAATTTCAAAAGACTCGATCTTGCAATGGATAGGTTTTTCTGAGGAAGGGGTAATTATGTGTTTGGTTTCCATCTTAACGTATATTTGACGCAAATTCTTGTATCATCGATGTTAAAATTTTGGTCTTATAGATGCCCGCAATGTTTGATTCCAAAGGAGTACTCAGTGTACTTCACCATTATCGCACAAATAATCAAGGTAGATGGATACCCATACTCGATACTAGTCTTAATCGAAAAGAGGAAGAAAAGGAATGGCTATATTGGCCTGTGTGGCTTAATGAAAACAAATTGATATGTTTTATTTGCAAGGTAATCATATGGTCAATTAAGGTAATGAATCTTCATTTTCTAAAATATATTTTGTGCATTTTTTTTAGAACGGAGAACAACATCCCAGCATACCTCGACCTAGTTTCGATGAGGTTAATTTGCAAATTCCATTGTTGAACTTGGACAAGAAAGATGGCCAATACGAAGAAAAGTAATAGCATAATGATTTTCATGGTTTAGTTTGACGCATAACATTAAAAACGACTTTTATCTCTATAGGGTTATGCGAATGTCTGTTATCACGAGATTTGAATTTGATGAGGCGAAGGCAAGAAATTCACTGGAATGGGAACGCGAGAAAATCAAGCAGAAGAACAAGGAAATAAACGATACTCTATTGGAACTGATAATGGTGCATTTTTCTTTTGATTTCTTAAAGGATTTCTGAATATTTTCCATGATCATTTCCGTATATGACAATTATTTTCTATCTATAGTTATCCTGTCAAGAAGAAAAACTTCAACGTGCATTGGATTTGGCGAAAATGTTAAGTACAACGAAGTCTTTGGATAAAGCAATTAAAATCGCAAATTTCAAGAAACTTCCAATACTAGCCGAGAAAATCAATCAAATCAAGTCGGTTAGTTTCAGTCTTTCGATTACTCTTTTGTCGATAGTTTTCTACATGGATATGCAAATTATTAAACTTGCCTCACCCTGTATCAGAACAAAATAACAGAAATGCACAAAGCACAGATGATGATGTCGCCTTCTCCATTCCGAACACAAAATCAAACTTTAAATCACACAAGGTATGTGAGGTTTCTAGGAATTTAACATTTTTTGTTCGACTGAGAGCCATTAGATGATATTCTATTTCTATCTTTAAGAAACACACATTCGTCACCTTTAAATACGTCGTCTTATCGCCAAAATCTTTCTAATGCACTGGATACATTGGGCGGTTATGATTCATTAACATTTGGAAGCGAAGGAGACAATGAGTTGATGATTAGTACCTCCAGTACTTCGAGTAGTCATGATATTCAAACCGGCTCGAAACGGCGCGCACAAGAAATTGAACATGATGATCTATATTATGATGAATCATCGAAAGTCAAAAAAACCAACCAAATTGGAACCAAGAGTGCGCGTCTATTTTTTCATTGTTGAACCATTTTATAATTTGTTTGATCCGTATATTTTAGAAACTTGCTGATTCATGATTTCATCACTAGAAAATCCGTTTCTCCAAAAACCTAATAATCCCATCATAAACCCTTTCGCCGTTTCAAATGAATCAAATGCTGATGAGGAACCGGAAACGAAAAAAGCGAAGACAATCAGTACGCCATTCTATCAAGTGATAAATTCATAAAATCACACTAATTAATGCTTTTTTATTGTTTTCATAGAAGAAAATAAAAAGGTAGCACCAAAAAGGCAAGCAAAATTAGGCGAGCATTTTGGCGGTGTTACGAAAGTAAGTATCGTGATTTCTCAAATTTACTTACTCCATTATAAAATGTTAATCTTGTTTTATATAACTAGGAAACAAGTGATGGTCAAGACAAAGAACAAGAAACAGAATCGATAAATTCAATGACAGAGCCAGGACCTGGAACGTACAACACAGAGGTCAATGAGGAAAGAATAGAAGTTGATATTACTGTGGGTGAAAAACAAAGTGAAGTTATTGTCGAAGAGCAAGAGGAGACAGATATTGCGGTGCTTGAGACTAATGTTATAGATAAGGACATTGAAGAATTTAACGAATTTGAAGGCGATCCCACGGAATCGCAATATCTCATGGACTTTGATCTTGAACAAAATCCCATGGATCTTGAACAAATTCCGGCCGATTATGAACAAGATCCTTCAGCTGTTCCGGAAGAAGCATGAAAACGGTAGGTATAGTTTAACGTCAACTTAGTTAATATTATTTGAGGTAAGTTCTATGGTAGGAATCATCCTAGCTGCTTCAATATAAAATGTCTATCATGTTATTAGTATTCATGTTAGATAATATGTTTAGTTTTTTTTTTTTTGAAAACTTAAAATAAATACTTGCATCTCGCTTTTTTTTTTTTCAAAAAAAAAAATAAATAAATAAAATAAAATACTTTTTATTAATTTTCTATAGGTATAGTATCAAAGAGTTATGTGAATTATCGATTGTTATGTCGTACACTTTTTTTTTGGAACCAGTTTAGCTAAATTATAAATGGCATATTTTTGGAATATTGCATTATATAACACATTAAATTTGGCAATAACGATATCACAAAAATTATCGATAAAATTTTGGTTTAGAAGTTTTTCACAATTTTAAATCTTTACGAACACAAATAGCGAAAAATGAATACTCCTAGTTCCATGCTTATTGGATGGTTTGCGATTTTTTTTTTCGCGCAAATATATCTATTTTCTTTTTTCACAATTTTAAATTTACGCATTTTATTTTATTTTTCTGACAGGGTGGCATTGCTTGCTGGTAGGTCGAGAGAATGATAATTGCCGTTTATTAATTTGACTTGACTTTTAAAATTTTTTATTAGCCGGTGGAGGAGCATTCTATTTCGCCAAGAAAGATATCGATGCTCGGAGAAGAGCCCAAGAATTGG